TAGCTGACTTTTATCATAACTGCACCAAAAATACAACTTTTCTGTCGATCCATTACCATTCCCATATTGAAAACGGATTGGACGAGGCGGAACCATTTCGCCAAAGCTGTTTATAGCCGCATAGCAGTGGATAGTGAAGTCACTCGACTGAAAAAAAAAGAGATACCTAGTAAAGAAACCAACGGAGCAGAGACAATTCTCAATGAACTCAACGAGGCAGGGAAACAGACTAGCTTGCGCAAAAACAAGACGAAGGTTCTGTTCGTGAAGAACTTATGGAGCGATGGCGAACAAATCGAATTCATTGGTTCTCTAATTTCGGATACCAGCCCGTTCGTGTACCTTGGACATTAAATAAACACGAAGAAAAACAAGAAGGAAGAACCACTCATAAGGAGAGGAGCATGGGCCGATTCCACGCACCACAGAAAAGCCAAAGACCTGCAAGCGCACCTAAGATCGGCTAGTGCACCTTACACCCTCACTACTTAAGTTCTTCTCAGTGTTCTGTTGTACAAAACAGTCTCGATGGATAATTAATCCATGTGGAAAACCGCGCACCCGTCCAAAGAGCATTTGAATAATGTTTTTTGGAAAAGAAATGGCACGGAAAACATCTTCGCGGGACGCTCAACTCAAATATTTGGAAACTGTGCTATCTTCGCAGGAGAACAGAAATCAGTAGAAAAACAAACATGGCCTTGCTATATAATGAAAACAGCAGAGGATAGATGCACGAAAAGGAGTGGTTGTGTGCTCAGTCGGATGCAAATATTTTCTCGGATTACCACAGATGCGGGTGGTCCAATGTGTTTATGGCTCAGGTCCATCTGCACTCAAAGATGAGTATGATTCACAGATCATGGAATACGCTTCACAAATGCAACTATTTTTGAGGCAAAAAAAACCATTATGGACGGCGGCTGGGCGAGAAAAACAGGAGTGGCAGGTGTACTTTAGCTCCACTTGGGTGTAAACAGCAAAAAATCACCGAGATGAAGCGCCAATCACTATAGTGATTACAACTGTTGCTTTTACTGTTTTACAGGACCCGTCATCATCTCTACTGTGCGCATCCAAACAATTCTTGCATTCATTTTGCTCGTGTGCATCGTCCACGAACGCCTTCTAATATTTCGCGTATTGTTTCGGCTGCTGCTTGAAGGTATTGTCTTCTTTACGAATGTAATAGAATGCTGTAACGTCGATTCTCCTTGCAATCTTTGAGATAACCGGGCTAACGCGTTCTCACGTGCGAGCGTTAGGCAGGGGGTCAAACCAGAACTTTGCTTCTTGATGGATTCCATCCTTAACCACTGGACTATCCCTCTATCGAGTATAGTGATGAGTGGAATGTAGCAGTTCGAATGAGTCAGTCGATACCGAATAATCACTAGTTTGAGACAGAATCCTCGATTTCATAAGAATTTGCCACACGACACCCTTTGGTCTTTCCACAGACCTGTTCTCAAACTTGAGTAGTTCAACCTTTATATAAATAATAACATCAAACAGCAATAATGATATAACAATACCAAGACATAACAGACGACAAGATGATAAAGTCAATAAGAGAGATGATGACATGGAGATTACATTGAAGATAATAGCCTATGTAATAGACTACAAAAGTGATATGAAGAACAGCTGTAGCAAAGAAAAGTGAGAAACTAAGACATCGGTAACTGAAGCGGAGAAGGCAAAACCTACAACAGGTTAAGGTTGTTTATATTAATGGGGATTTCGGCACATAAATTCAACATGATATAAGAACGCAAGAAGATGTAGACTCTAAGATAAGAACACTATTTGAGGTAATTGAAGGATGACTAAAGATCCTGTCTATAGACGTTCTGTGATGGCCGGAGTGTTGGTAGAGGAAACTAGAGTAAGTGCTTAAAATAAGATTGTAGAAAGTCTCTTAGTTAGTACAATATGATAAAGCTGCTTCAAACCATGATACTGTAGCTGCGGAGAAGCACACCAGGTAAAACAGTATGCAAAAAGTTTTGTTGACATATAACTCCACCAGAAAACGATGGAATAGCGCGCAATGAAAGTTCATGTGAAGGCGACAAAATAATATAAACTTCACTTAAAAATAATTGAGTGATGGAGAGCAACGGCTAATTTTTGGATAATTTTGGGCGTTTTGTTGCCCATAGTGTTAGCTCGAGCGTGCAAAGCTGTGGAAGAAGCGACGGGGCAATTTAAGAAAAATAAAAGAAAACGAGGATAGCTTTTACTGAACGAAGATATTTAAATAAACAAAATCGGTCGAAACGTTATCAAGTCACTCAGCTGTAACCACAAAAAAAAGGATAAAGCTGTCGGCGTTGACTTATCACTGCGGGATGCCCCATGCGTTCGACTTCATTAACCATCGTTGGAGGTAATGGAATGCATATCTGGCCTTTACAATGACTCACAGTGTCCTGCCGATTTATGGAGCCAGTGCTGCTATCCTCCCAGACAAGTCTGGTACCAATTTCCCGACCCCGGAGAGATGGAGGGCTTGGTGGGCCATGGGCGCGGGGATCGATTCACCCCGCAGTGACGCCTCCAACTCCTGCGCCACACACGTCCTATCTGAAAAACGATAAGTGTTTAAAAGTTTTTGATTATGAGAAAGAGCCAGCACTGCTATTCTCCCAGACAAGTCTGGTACCGTTTTCCGAACCAAGAGTTACGGAAAACTTAGTAAGCTTCGGGCACCGGGATCGACTCCATGTGTATTGCAGGGCACTTCCAACCAATGCGCCATAGCTGTACTAAAGAGGGGAAAAGTACAATGGCGAGGGCAATCTAGTTCTTTACTGACTTCTTCAACAATTACATGACTTAACCTGAAACAGTAGAGTCGGACGCCAAGCAAACGCTTAAATTAAGCACCATTGCTATTGTCAAGCCAAATTACAAAGTTCTGGAGGCAGTTTTGTTGCATTACAACATTCATGAGTAGTATTAAGAAGCGGCCTATTCACTTGCCTAAGTATCAGGATAACTGCTCATAATGTACCATTTAGTACCTAAATATTCTTCATTGATCTGAATTTACTTAATAAATACAACTGTCACTGAGGGGCATCACTGAGTAAGGATGCCTCATTCGAGGAGATGACTCACTGAAGAAGACCTGACTCGACACGAAGGCGAAGCTGCCACGTCGAGACGAATAACAAGCGAGGACCACCGACTCGGATCATCGGCTCTGAGGAAGACGAAGACGTCGAAACGTTAGCCGAAAATAAACATCATTATCAACCTCGTGTAAGCTCATCAAAGAAAGAATACATATTGGTTAGTGATACCGAGGTTCAAGGAAAGTCGGTTTCGAAATACAACTGTCATCATCGGTTTCATAAACTGTAGCTGATCACTAATGCTATGGTATCTCCACATAAATGTATATTGCTTGTTAAGAACAAAATCACAGACTGAATCAAATTTTCTCGAGCGCCGCGTGTATCAATTCCACTGGCAGCTGCATGGCAAGTGGAAACTTAAGAGTCTATACGATGCTGCTTAGCTGATGACAACACCGTATATCTCATCAACCCAATCGGGATAGCTTGCACGTTCACAAAGTGTAGTAATCTACGAAATTTCCTGCGAGTTCTCGGAGAAAGAACCAAAGTTAGTCACAATGATGCTGAGATATTTGCAAAACTTAGAACTCAGGCCCCATTGAACAGCGACTAATCTTTCTGGAGGCTCACGTGTTACGCACCACACCACTGAGACCCCTGTTTTCCTTTCACTCAGCCTTTGAATTTGTGCTCCCCAGACCATTCCCGTTGAAAGGAGATTGCTGATGACAGCGTTAGGTAGAAAACTGGCTGAGAGAAAGGCCGAGCTAGGGCCTCATTGTGATAAAAAGGCTCTAAAGCTTTTTTATTACAAAGGTCTAAGAAAGCTCTTGGCGTTGATCAATCCCTGAGGGATGCGCCATGTATTCGACCTCGTTAAGTATCGTTGGAGGTGACTGAATGCATATCTGACCTTTACAATGGCTCGCGGTGGCCTACCGATGTATCGAGCCAGTGCTATCCTCCCAGACAAATCTGGTAGCGTGCGTAACACGTGAGCACTCGAAAAGTGCAATCGCGGTTCGATTTGGTCTGGGATCAAAGTTTTGTAAACGTCTCATAGTGGTTGTATTCCTCATTATACCCACAGCCGTCAAAAACAATAAAAGACTGTAAATAAAAAGTTAACAATGTTACAATGTTTATTTCTACAACTCTGCTATTAAAATCATAACATGACAGGAGGGTGAGGGATATAGAGCCCGAAAAACCCAGGCTTATAGAGAATCGCAAAACATCATTTACATTTGGAAAACGATAGCAACAGAGATCCAATGGAAGTAACGCAGCTCATCTCCACTTCAATAATCGTCTAAAACGAATAAAATTCACTCGAAGGGCTGACCAGCACAACGAAATATTGCGTAGATACCATTCCCTGTAAAGAAAATGGAAATAATGAAGATCTTTACAAACTGTTTATCACATAACAAATAACCACTGTGTCATCCAAAAACTATTATCCGTGATTGGAATACACTCCAAATGTTTAGTTAGTTAAAAGTCAAGCTACATCGAAATCTAATTTGGAGATTGCAATTGTCTAAAAGTGGCCATGGTAAGAAAAAAAAAGACAAAGCTCTCGGCCTCGATCAGTCCCTGAGGTATGGGCCACGCATTCGACTTCAGCAAGCATCGCTGAAGGTGATAAAGTGCATATCAGGCCTTTAAAATGACTCGCAGTAGCCTAGCGATGTACCTGGCCAGTGCTGCTATCCCTCCCAGGCAAATCTAGTACCAATTTTCCGACCCCGAAGGGATGGAAGGCGCTTGGTGAGCCTTGGGCGCGGAAATCGACCCCATGTGTGTCGCAGTGGCGCCTCCAATCACTGCTCCACACGCGCCCTTAGCAATTGTAATAGACTAGACAAACCTTAATACAAACAAACGTGGGGATTCGGCGTAGTGGAACTACATATAACTGCAAGGGATTATGTAAAATGCGGATAAATTATGAGCTCTAAAACAGAACATACATTACCTGGTAATTTAAAAATGCAACAGATAGACGCCACTAACTTGTTATACGCCATCATGCTAGTGTATTGAGAATCAAGAAACTGCTTGTAGAAAACAGACAAATCATTCGCAGATATCTGTTCTATCCGACCAAGTTCTTTCTTGCGCTATAACATCGAAATTTTTATCCAGTGATTAAGTGCTCTTTCAATTCAGAGAATCATTAAACGATTGATCAAATCTACTTAGTAAAGAGAGCACCACATATTCTCATCGGCTCGTCAAAAGTTGCTCTAGTTTAAAACCATGTGAATTACACTGAATGACTACCAGAGAGTATGAGAAAAAAAGAAAACCTATCCTTCTGATAATGCCACTTTTCGAATGCGTAGTGCAGAAACCGATGTGGGATACGTGAACGTTATTCGAGCGTTAAGGATTTAAGATCAACAAAACAACTGGGTTCTTCAGATGAACTAATTCAAAGTCTATCAAAGTTATTGACTAGTCATATTCAGCTTGGGCGCGTTTGGCGTAGTGGTCGGAGGCGCCCTGCGTCACACACAGGGAATCAATCCTTGTGCCCATGGATCACCAAGCCTTTCATGCCAGCGGGATCGGCAAATTGGTACCAAACTTGTCTCGCAGGATCGCAGCATTGGCTCAATACATTGGTAGGCCACCGCGAGTCATTGTGAAGGCCAGACATGCATTCATTCATCTCCAACGATGCTTAATGAATATATTTATTTATATGATCTTATAAACTGATCTTCTTAAGCTGACGTGAGGTTGGTACAGGTCTTCGTTGTCGTTGTCAATACTTAATGAACTCGAATGCATGGCGCACCCCTAGAATGATCAACGACGAGAGCTCTATTCTTTTTTTCCGTATTCAGCTTCGTCCTCTAAGAAAGACGCTTAACAGCGAACTCAATTCTATCAGCGCTGGTCTACTAAGGTGTGGTGCACCACTTTCCGAGCACAACGCTTCCGAATTAGTGTGGTTGTGTTTCGGCGAGTTCCAAACAAACGGTACAGTCAGCTGTGCTCATATATCATGTGATAAAAAGGAAAAAGGATTTGTGAGTTGTTAGTTCAGTACCTCTCGAAGCTTTTGAGGATGACAAAAAAGTGCTTTGGTTGACAAGCTAACTAGGCAGAATAATAGATTTATTTCCACTCCACGGTTTACCTAAAACATAGTAATATTGTCGTAAGGTACCACTAAGCGATAATATTCGAAGGATATAAATAAAAGAATAAAGCGTTCGGCGTTGATCAATCCTTGAGAGATGCATCACGCATTCGACTTCACCATGAGGTGATTGAAGGCATATCTGACCTATATAACGACTTGTGGTGGCCCAATGAAGTTGTCAAGCCTGTCCGACTATACGCGATGACAAGTCATGTCTGGTACCAACTTATTGATTTTGGAAGGTTCGAAAGCCTGGTGATCCCAGGGTGCGTAATCGAACCAGAGGATATGTGTGCACTGCATGGCACCGCAACCGCTGAGCTCTAAGCACTTCAGTTAACATGAGCAATCCGGTGACTTCAACTGGGCTTCGAGTCACAAAACAGATGACTATTCAACTGGTGGATCCAGATCCTAGTACCCATCGAACCTGCTGATTCAACTCACTTGCTCCACAAATTCCGCCTTCTTAGTGTCAAACAGAGAATTATGTTTGGCCCAAAATGCGGAATTCCACCTAAAATACCACTTAGAGGACGAAGAAAAATAGAAAATAAACTTTTTCCAAGAACAATACCCACCTATTGAGCTCCTCCCTTGCCTCCCTATATTGTCGCTCCAAATCCGACTCGTTATCGACTCTACGTAGCCTTAAATCACGAAGTAAAACCCACAAAACGGTAAACGAAACCTATTACGTTTATAAAACGCAAAGAGCACCTACTTTATGGGTCTAATTTTTGAAACTGGATGTGGTGGTCCAACCCAGTCATATCGACGATCCATCCGAATTTGATCATCGTGTATGCACATCCTCCAGAAAATCTCTGGAGATAGAAACATCATTCGTTTCAAGTCGATTAGTCCGATGATTCGCCTCGCTTCTCCAATTTGAACAAAAATTTCAATCTAGACCCAGAGGCGATATACTTGCCCCCCACGAAAGTAAAATGGACCACGGATTCCCTCGTCTCTGCTGCGCCGGACTACCATTTATTTCCGTTTGTGGATTTAGCTATATTCGTGCATATACACGTGAATGTGCCATTACGCATGCACGACGGTTCGTCTAAAAGTCTGCGGCGGAAAAAACTGGGGTACATGGAAGAAAGGGGAGCGTGTAGCGCTGTGGTTGGAGGTGCCCTGCAATACGCATGGCATCGATCCTCGCGATCAAGGCTCGTCAAACTTTTCATCCCTCCGAGGTCGCCAAACTGGTACCAGACTTGTCTGGGATGATAGCAACACTGGCTCCATACATCGGTAGGCCACCATGAGTCATTGTAAAGGCCAGATAAGCGCTCAGTCTTCAACGATGTCTCATAAATTCGAGTGCATGGCTCATCTTTCAGGGATTAATCAACACTGACAGCTTCATTCTTTTATATGGAAGATAGCATGCCCGTAAATCTTCACCAACGCTACTTCTGGACCGTTAATGAAGTGGCTCGTGTCCCGGCGTTCTTTGCGGCATTACCCTTTCAGCAAAAAGTATGATGTTCTTCATAAAACTACAATTAGCCGAGCTTACAATTGCGGATCTGGCTTATGGAATAAACAGAACTACAACCATAACGATACTAAGATATTTGCAAAACTTCAGGCCGCTGGACTCTACGATGGGGAACAAGCACGCTATTACCCTTTCTGGGGGCTAACGTGTTCACCACCACACCATGCGAGCCCTACGTTTCGTCTTTCTCTCAGTCGTATTGTTGGCATATAATTAATATCATCAACCATATTTCATAACACCACACCAACAGTTATATTTCACGTAATATCCTGTAATTTAAAAAAAGAAACAGAATTGGCAGTGAATAAAAATCGACTGCATTGTGATTTATACCACGGCTTCAGCTATCAGCTGGCTTCCACGGTTCATTGACGATATGGGCTCCCCAGATGAATACAATTGACGAGTGATTGCTGATAGCACTTATAGGTCAATAACACGGCTGAGAAAAAGGCGAAGACTCGCATAGTGCTGTGGTGAAAGCGTTAGCCCCCGGAAAGGGCAATAGCCCACCGCAGACACCTGCGGTCCAGAGTTTTGCAAATATCTCAGCATCATTATGGTTATATTTCACATACTACCTGCGATTAAAAAAAAGCATGCAGTAAGTAGAAAGCGATAACATTGTAAACAGAACTATATTATCAGATGTAGCCATTGTGAAACGCTGCGAGCAGTCCTGTACAAATTACGCAAAAGAAGTTTATTTTCAACAACGTGAAAGATCAACCATAACAAAACCATAGCTCGACTGACCTCATAGAGACAAACGAAATTATCCAACCTCAAAATGCCTAAATTTATAGTATCTTAAGAAAACGGGTACGAAATAAGTGAAAATGGGAACAGTGAGTAACAAAGTTTACAATTTCATGCGTAATTTTCCAACGACAGGATAATGATACAAGAAATCAAGTGCTATATTAGGTCCTATCCGCGCCATCTATGGACTTTCGTATCAAACGGAACATAGTCTGGTATTCAGTAAGATTGTGACTGAAGAAGGAATTTTGTTCTACAGTTTCAATTAAAAAACACAATAAACTTACATAACAAGCAACATAGGACCCAAAAGCTCCTTCGTGTTAGTCAAATGTCGAAGATACATACGTGTATAGTTTTGGCATGTATAACAGCTACAAGAGTCGAACAGCTTCTCGTGATCATCAGCAAACCTGGAGTACCACAATGATTGATCAAGTACGTGGGACGATAGGTAATCAGAAATTATCATCACCTGTCATCATTGAAATCCAGTAAATCAAAAGATGATGAGCGTGTGTAATCATCTGCTAACCGTAGAGCCTTTGCCTTAAAATGGTGAGATTCAAGATATCTACAGAAGAAATGTGGAAAACAAGGATACATGGGAACACAACGAAGTCTGGCCAACAATAAAAAACTGAATGAATAGCCAAACTTTTATAGTTGGACTAGAACTGGACTTGGACTACTACACTGACAACCATCAAAAGTTTTCACTCTAGAAGATGAAAGTGTTGTGCATGCTGTGTAAGGGATAGAAAGCATTATGGCTAAGATTATAGTCTTATGCCTGGAACCATACAACTTGGATATTTGTCTTACTTCTAATTTATCGCAGCACTTGTTAAATAAAAAAGAGATAAAGCTCTCGTAGTTAATTAATCCCAGACAGTAAGTGTCGTTTGAGATGTTATATGGCCTTAACAATGACTAGCAGTGGCCTAACAATGCATCGAAGTAGTGCTGCTATCCTCCCAAACAAATCTGGTACCAATTTGCCGATCTCGGAGGGATGGAAGGCTAGTAAGTTTTGGGCGCAGAAATCGATCCAATGTGTATTGTAGGGCGCCTCCGGCCACTGCGCTACACGCGCTCTGTCAACAGAGATATAACCAAAAGCTGATAATGGAACTCATAGACGATTCTTTAACCCAAGACACTTGTGCTGATAAATACTGTAGGAGTGCCTTCGGCCAAGAGACTACCTGTAGGACGAGACAACTTATTGGCACATGACGAGTGGAAAGGACTCCAGCAAATTGTTCACCAAAAGTGAGTATAAAACAATTAAGACCCTGTCCAAGAGGTACATTGCGTGAAAACACACTGATAAACGCATAATTCTTTTGTACAACGATCCTAGTATCCTGCATAATTTTCCATTTTGACGTAACGAAAAGGTATCCCTAGGCGCCCAACTTATGTTCAATACAGCGAAAGGCCTGTACCTTTTACAACGACTACAGTCTTACTAATAGCTGTTTTCATCACTAGCAACAGTCTCTCGCCTACTAAATAAATTTTTCGGAAGAATTTTTAGACCAGAGAGTAGTAATCCATGTCCTATTTACAATATAATAGTACCTGTTGGTTAAGTCATCGACTGAATACAGAAATTACTTCAAAAACCTCTGTACGGCAAAACAAACAACATAAGAAAATAGGTTGACACCGGCTGATGCCGGACCATCTGCTATCAACCCATGTATGATTGGAAATCCATTCACACAAGACTTTATGAACTCTAGTGACTTTCCATGGTGGCAGTAGAACGGCTTGCTTCTTCCATACGAATTTGCAATCTTCTTTAATAAGCTCTTAACCACCCAGATGATATATCTTTATATGAATATAGTCGTCAACCACCATATTAAAATGTTTCTTGTTACGTCATACCATACAATGCTCAATCCTTGGATCATACTTTTTGACATGTTTCCTTGTCTCAAGGTTGTACCTTACAGAGTTGGTTTGCTCTCAGAAGATATCGTTCAAGCGCTCTGTAGATGATGCGCACTAGTTTTTACTTGGCTGAAATATCGGCCCACCTTACTTCTGCATAACCGAGGACTAGTGTAGTGAGAAAGATGTACGCGAACTCTCGAGTTTATTGGTTTATCGTGGTTTCTATGACATTTCCCAAATGCGTCCCATGTTGCGTCCCTGCTTATTCTGTATAATTCCTATTCTGCATGTTCAGTGAACGTCCAAGGTACTTGCACAAGGTGGTCTCTGTAAGTGTGCAAAGCTGTGTTCAAAGTGATTGAAATCTTGGTTTGGGGTTTCTTTGTTTGGTTATGGAGGCGTCTGGCCGAGTGAGTTGCTATCAACTTGACCTTTCCAGGCTCTGAAGAAGGCGAAATTCGCCGAAACGTCAGCTTAATCGTGAACAAAGAACAATAACACCTCGCGTTTGCTCAAAAAAAATACGAACAAAATAATGCGGGTTATTGGTACTGAACGCGATGATGTGAGATGATTTCATTATCCGATTTTTGAGATTCATATGACTTCTGGGAACTGTGGGTGATATGTACTAGTTACAATGCATCTTTTTTTCTTGCTTCTCCGCCTTACTTTTTCTGCAATGTTTCTGCAATATGAGCATTTAAATCACAAGCGTTGTATCTGTCGTCATCCGAGAAATGCTACACATTCCACATTTCTATAGACATTAAAATTTACCAGAACCAATCTTAGGGATGACCATTTCATCATGAAATTTCCGCAATGATTCCCTCGGCTTTTGTATTGTCGTAGTAACAGATTCCGTTATGTATGAAGACGATACTAACACGTCACTGTTGCACGAATACAAATTCCATGAACACCACGTTATTCTTGAAAGGTTCCTCGGACACTACACTACTGTTGTACAAATGGATACCGCGGCAGAGCGATGCTTACTATTATGAAGACTACAGCTCGGTGAAAAATTACGCTTCACTGCACGGAAAAAAGTAGGCTTTGTAGTTAGCGTGAACAGAACTGCAAAAAAAAACCTGACAGTGATAAAGAAAACAAAGAAGTATAACCACAGTGATGCAGAGATATTTGCGAAACCCCGAACCGCAGGCGTCTGCGATGGGGACCGAGTTCGCCACTACCCTTTCCGGGGGCACATGCGTTCACCACATTATGCATGCCATTCGTTTCGCTTTTCTCTCACCCTTTCCTTCTCAAAACAAAGAACCTCCAACCTCTTCTGCCATTTTGACAGCGAAAGACGAATCGAACAAATCGAATCCAAGACGAGTAAGTACGAGCACCATTGCTGGATCAAATGGACCAGCCACAAATCGAAGACGGTGGGAAGGTAGCGGATCATGAAATGATTGACATGTTATGGATACGAGAAATAAACTACGTAAAATTTGAAACTCACAAAAGTTTCCTCAACTAGTTTTTTCAACTCTTCCCGATCGACATCGTTACCATGAGCGAAATCATGTAAATCAATCTAAATCGAAAGATCAGAAGTCATTTAAATTCAAGAATAATAAGAAAAAACCGGAAGTTCACCGAAAATCCGTCCCATCTCTCGTTTAAACCCAAATCTAAGGCGAACTTTCTTCGATGATACCCACTAAATCCTCCTCCTAAGGAAATGAAAGAAGCACCCTTAAACATGATAGATTTGAATACTGTCCTTTTAAAAACTAAACGCTTTAAGGGTAGTAGAAAACAAATACGATTGCTTAATGTACAAAAACATGACTTTTTTACTTTTATTTCTATACGACCCGTCTTCACGACTACGGCGCGGATCCCAGCACCTCCCACATTTGTTTTGTTTCCTCTCATCCAGTATCCAAGAAGATCTACATGTGGCTTCGGTTGCTGCTTGAGGATTTTCATTTCATCTTGAATGTCGTAGAATGCTGGCCGAGTCGATTCTCTCTGGAGTTCTGAGATAGCCAGGCTGGAGTGTTCCCAACTGGATTGCAGAGACTGATTTTTTCCCGGACAAATCCCGTACCAACTTATCGACCACGGAGGGATGAAAGCCTTGATTAGCCCAGAGCGGAAACGAGATAGCACCATGCTCGTGACGACCGACATCACTACCACTGTGCTATCCGCCCCTTTAAAAAATGTAGTTAACTATAGGAAAACAGATTAAACGTGGGAAGACAAGAGATTAGCTTATTTAGAGAAATAAAGCGAAACACACGGAAGTGATTTCTCCGCAGAAGTCAACAAATTTGAAACAGAAACAGCAGAAAATAGCAACGGTGAAATAATTTTGTCTCTTAATGACGCTAAAAGGCGTGTTTACCAAGAATGGATTCCTATAAACTGAACCTGAACCTCCTCTCCTTGCTCAAACAACTGCTCACAAAATATCGTTGTTCTCTCAATTGCTTTAGACAGTCGTTTATTTGAAGAATTCCTCGGTGTGTCAGAGTCAAGCATGGTGTCGAAGGAGTCGCACATAAAGTTTTTGATTATCTCACGATATCCTTGTGCATGCAACTAGAAAAGAAGGTTCGACGGCAAGCAGACAAGTATATAATAAAAATACTTGTTAACATTTTATTTACTGCCTATTACAATTTTTCACGGCAAGGTACTATGTGAATTACTACCACAATAATGCTGAGATATTTGCAAAACTCCGGATCGCAGGTGTCTGCGGTAGGAAACGAACGCGCTTATTACTTTTGCCGCGCTATAATGCGCTCGCTACCACACCATGCTGGTCCTACCTTCCGCCTATCTCTCAGCTAGAAGTACTTGTGTTTCAACAAGCGAATGCTACTGACCCTCAACTAATGGATGCATGGGAAATGCTCTCGGGATATCTAATCTGTTATGGAAATAAGCGAATCTTATTGTCTTACTGCACAGACTGCCTTTTCTGCCTGTTAATCTTTTTGCAACGAAGCTAGTTTTTCGATGACGATCGATATGATATGGTTTCTGGACTACTAGAGTATTTCTGGAGTTGAGAACTTCACAATGAAAAACTACGCTTTACCACATGCAAAAAAGTAGGCCTTGTAGCCAAAGTGTTAAACAGAGCTACAAAAAAAACCTGACAGCGATAAAGAAAACGAAGTAAAACCACAGTGATGCTGAGATAATTGCAAAACTCCGAACTGCAGTTGTATACAACAAATTTTTTCCTAACGCAATAACCGTATATGTAATTTTCAAACAGCCTCCCTTCAAATATAAAAAGTATTAGAATAAGGATCATGAAGAAAACTGATGATGAAATCCTTTAGGCAAAAATTTTAAACAATAGCAAGTTTCAATGTTTAACGTTTTGTTTTCTGCCTTCTATAATTTTCATGGCAGGTTACTAAGCGAAATACAACCACAACGTTGCTGAAATATTTGCAAAACTCTGGATCGCAGGTGTCTATGGTGGGGGACGAATGCGTTATTATCCTTTCCGGGGAGTAACGCGTTCACCACCACATCATGCGGGTCCTTTGTTTCGCACGTCTCTCAGCTATTTCTATCGATCTTTTTGCCACAGCAATCATAGCAAGTTTCATTGAAATCAGCGAAAGCCACTGTGATCCGAGATTTATGGTTTCAATTGAAAGCGGCCACTATTCTCTCGTCGTATAACTCCTATACAGGTTGTATCATAGGCTGATTTGGTGTTTTGCGCGGATGAGATAATCATGCATACAATGGCACTCCATACCTGTAAACTGCCACCTGACGTCGGTACCCTTCTTAATGGGACAATGGTCCTGATGAAAATGAGTAGGAAAAGCAAAAAGCACCATTCTCTTGCCTCCTTTCGTGAAAACAGCGATCGATTTAGTGTCGTTGAACCCCGACCTCATTTCACCAAGTGGGTCATAAATCTGGAGATGGACGGCATTTCCCTCCTAAATCGACGACGTGCACATTCAATACAACATAAAAGATAAGCGGTCGACCACAATTCAAGAACAAGAAATGCACAGACTGTTATTCCACAAAATGCCGCTGCTCCTTTCGCAAATTTCTTGATAATTTCAGACGATTCAATTCTATAAAAATAACCCTTACACATAAATTCAGATGTTTCAAACCACTTGCTGCCAACGAAACTCACAATGACGGCATCGTTAGTTGGTAAATTGGAGCCTGTTCCAGTTTCAGCCACTTCTGAGCAACGTCCCATGTCAGATGCGGAATGTGTCCAGCGCGCAAATATATCATGCATGAGGGCGTTGCGTGGTTTAAAACATAACGCCCTTAAGTCATACTTTAAATAATTCTCTAAAATACGAGACTTAAGGACATTTAACATGGACTTAGGGGCAACAAAATCCTCTGCTTTAGCCTCACACTATAGGAAACAAAAGAATGACTGTAGAATGATACAAATAGGATGACTGCACACTACTGTAAAGCGGGCACCCTCAATATGAGAACTTAGAAATAAATGGAGCTACCACAATGGTGCTGAGATACTTGCAGAACTCCGTACCGCAGGTGTCTGCGGTGGGAAACGAACGCGCTATTACCCTTTCCTAACGCATTCACTACCACACTATGCGGGTTCTTTGTTTCGCCTGTCCCTCAGCTGGTTTTCTATTTACTAGTGCCATCAGTAATAAATGGAGCACTTTAGCAAGATATAAGAAAGAAAGGTCGACAGCATAAATCTGACAAATAGTGGTACGACTCACCCCACGACTCGATCAATCCTATCCGTCCAAGAACGCTTTTTCTTTGTAACTGAAAATCTACCATGTTCAAGATTACAAGTACTCTGTAAACAACAAGCAAAAGCTTTTTTAAAAAAAAAATCCACTAGGAAACATACGAGAACGACATAGAAGATGCTGTTAACATTTTGCCAGTCTCAAAGATATAATCGAATTTTTATCGCATTCCAAGAAGTAGTATATTTACAATTCATCTCAAAGCGAAACGGAGGTACTGCTTACTTATTAGAACTCACATGCCGCACTTCAACCCATTCTTATCAATGAGTACTAGTAATAGAGCACTGCAATTCGAACCAGATGTGAAGTATGTAGAAGCGACCCAAAGCCGAATGGACAGAACTACTTTTGCACAGCATAGTTTCGATACTCTGGCTTCAACTCCCACATACTCTTGTGTGGTGGTGCAGTATTGTATACAGCAATTTCAGTCAAAAGCTCCTTCACATATCCAGCAGGTTGCTGCGTCAACTGTTGCAAATCTTGCAACCTAAACTTGTAAATTCCTAAAACATGGGTTAAAGTTCACGAATAATAAGAGAAAAAACTACCAGAAATAATCAGTACAGAAAGAAATAACGAGGCAACAAGAATAAGGAATGTTGTACAAGGTACAAACACTTAAAGGTGTATATAAAGGATAAAAGGTAAAGCGCTCGCCGTTCATCAATCCCTGAAGGATGTGCAGTGCATTCAACTTCACTAAGCACCATTAGAAGTGACTGAATGCACATCTAGCCTTTACAATGACTCGTGGTGGCCTAGTGTGTACCCAGCCAGTGCCGATATTCTCCTAGATAAGTCTGGTACCAATTTCCCGACACCAGAGAGGAGGATTGGGTGGGCTTGGGGGATCAGGATCGATCCCATATGTACAGCAGGACGCCTCCAACAACTGCGCTACATTTTCCCATATAGTTGTTATATGGCACAGTAGAATACGGTCCATTCATATTTTTCTCCATAGAAACTTCCAGTTAACAGTGGTATTTTAAAATAGGACGTAATACAAACAAAACTCCCTTCATTTTCCGAAAAAATATGGTATGGATGCCACAACCACTTAAGCCACAAGAAAACTAAGAGCTATTTTGGTTCCTTTTCGAAGTTTTGGATGCACTCCCATATTCTTAGAAACTAATAATATATAAGACAGCACTTATAACGTTCGGAAGTCAATGGACCCGAAAAAAACCCTAAAAAATATAAAAAGCGAAAAAAAACTCAAAAGGAGTAGATCTCACCTGTAGTATTGATGCTTCTCGAAAGCATGAAACAATGCTTGCATGAGGACGTCTCGATCAGCCCGCACAGCCTTTGCACCTTCTTTCTTCTGTTTCATCCTCATCATATCTTCTGCATGAGCAGCAATAGGTTTGAACTTCACGGCAGCCTAAACCACTAAGAAAATGCTCCAGTAAGCGCTAAAAAGAAACGGACCAAGATCGAAATATAAATCACCAACCTTTTCCATCTGCAGAACTTGCTTCTTCGGTTGGCCACTTTTAGAAATCTGAGCAATCTTCATTTTTAAATAACTACTTGAGGCCGGTGGACGACACTCTGCCCTCTTGACCACTCTTCCTTCTATAGAAAGTCGCCCGGATCTTAAGGACATAAGGCGCTAACAAGGGATAATGAAATAATCATGATAAGCCTTTTAAAAATCCCTTACGAGTGAGAAATGTGGCATTGGCGTTAATCCGTACATAAATTCTTCTACTAAAACACTCGCTACCATATAATGATATATGACTCACTTTCCTTTCGGCTCTTTATCCTACCATACGGTTTTTGATAGAATTTTTTAGTGGATCGATAGCTAGATGTGCTACCAGGAAAGCCATTCTCAACAAAGAGCAGTTTATAAAGTTTAGTTTTTTCTCGACAGTTTGTTCATCTACTACACATATTGTTACTGATGAGAGCAGACTGATGAAATTCTTTCTATTGCGGATGAAGAGAGAAGTACAACACATATAAGTCAAACATGATTCAACCTAGACAGAAAAATTTGCGTAAACCCATACGAAAGCCAATGAAAACTAGGCATATTAGCGAATGTGTAAAACGACGTTTACTAATGGTAATGAAACAAATACCTGATTTCTATATCCTCATTTAAACCAGATTTGTCTTCGGCAAGCACAGCCATTGTTTGATTCAGGACATCACCGAGAATAAAAGAATGTTCATCAGGTATCTGGGCAGGACCTAAACATCTACAGCATCATCTTTGTCCTGATACGAAAACACCATTTGGTAGCACTAATGCAACATAGGATGAACAGTACCAAACATGAAATGGTGGTCTACCTTTTACAGCCGATGATACGGATTGGGGCAAAACAAGACCGGGACGAGATTTCAGCTTCACCTGAATTGTTGCTTAACTTTATCACAACCAGGTTCGACTAACCAAAATGGCTTGCGATGTTGGCTTGTATTGCTAGATTTTTTGCAACTTATTCAGTTGGTACATGAAGTAGTTCTCCACGCAAATTGTTGATAAGTCTTTCACCACTTTAGTAAGCTTCGATCCATGAAACGGCATGAGGACAGGACTGTGGGTTCGGAAAAAGGTTTCATAACGTACATTTTTCAAGTACACTGTTTCCCTCCATCAGTTTAAAGCATATTTTTGCTTGACTGTTTACCGTGTATTACACCTTCACAGGGTTTTTACGACTTTATACTGATTGAAGTGAAGCTCTCAACGCAAAAAAATCAAATAGCTATGACTCATGAGGAGGTCAACCATAGAAATAACGCAAAAACAGAAGGTTGGAAGTGATTAGATCACGAACCGGGAAAGGCTTCCGAGAGGCGGAATGCATAGGTGGTTCTTAGAGTTTCCTATCGGAGGTGCACCCTAACCAAAAATTAACGACGACAATCATAAAATGATCGATGCCATCTCTACGAAAGACTTAAAGGTTTGTAGAAAAAAGCTAACATTCAAAACTTTATAATTTGACAGAAAATGTAAGGATAAAGACGCTCTGCATTAAATGAACGAATCCCAAGCAAACTGTCGTCTCGAAGTCGATTCTGTGCTTGTCTTTACAGAAGAAAAACGACCCATTTACTGATCTCATTGTGCTTTGGAATCAATAGGACGTCCTGCGTGAAAACTGACGACGCTGAATTCAACGACTTTTACAACAGAAGGTTGTAACGGCTTTTCCATCTTCCGCAGGAGGAATCACGCAATGCCTATTCGACCTTGTTAAAGAGATTACAGTAAAGAAGTATGGAAACAAAACCGATGAAATCCTGGAGAAAACTGTAGCTTCCCGGGTCCAAAATTTGTTAAGAGATAAAGTCAGCTCTTCTTATATGATGATAGTCGACCATACGTTGCGTAATTAGCGCTGCAAAAGTTTGATAAGTTGCGCTACGAAACCCTGCATTACTCATCGCAGCTAGCTCATAGTTTATCCATCATGCTGTATAAGTTTCTTATGGAAATCAATTCCATATCTCTAAATACTTCTCGAAGAACCTAAACGGAATCTAATTTTGAGTAAACTGAATTTCGCAAAGACATAGTTCCGCGTACCGCATGCAACTCTCGAAAAACTCTAGAGGTGCATTTTCAATACGTCTCCTTGAAGCAACCTTTGACGAATAAGAAAAATCTATCTATTAAAGGAAAATCCAACGTCATCCTTTCTGCTTACTTGACTGGTGTGTAGACGTGTCCTAAATCAGAACACTACGGCAGATCGACATGGAATCAACAATGACGTTTTTTCTCACCGCGGCACTACACTAGTGTAAACAGTCACTAAGAAGGCGTGAAAGAATAAAGGTTGCAGAACCGCGAACGAGGAGAATAGGAAAAATGTCGAACCTTCACTATGTGTGGAAGAATGACAAATATATTTAATTAATAGCGCACAAGATGTAATCAAATACGTTACCAAATACCAAATATTAAATAGGTCCAGCGTTTTTGAAAACACTGTAATCTTAATAGTGATGAGAAAACTATGATAACAAATATTGACGAATAAAAGCTCAGCTTGACTCACATGCGCACGGTATGCTGAACAACAATAAAACCTGTAAATTCACCGTAGTGGAAAGCGAACATAATGCACTTTTAATACTTGATGCTTCCCAACTGTTTACTGCCTCATTGTGGCTGGGAGGTGTTCCTGGGTGTCCGGCTGCGGTGTACAGCCCCAGAGCAATGCCTCCCAAGCTGAGAAGGAGTCCAGCGTTTCCATGAAGAAGCCTAGGTAAGAGTAAACCAATATCAGGATCCACCATTATCCTGCTATCAAACTAGTCGTATGGCGGTAAATCTTCTTCTGATCCACAAGGGCGGCGACCGCCTGTGGTGGTGACGACCTGGGGCAGACTTTAACTGGGCTGACCTCAAAACTCCAAGCAGACACAACGGGTAAACCATTATCCAAGTAATACTTCATGAAGTTGGATATAGAAACGAAATCATCGAAGTGTGAAAGACATTAAAAATCTCAAATGAATTGTTTCAAGTTAAATGATCATTCTAAAAACGTAGCCCGACAGAACAGGCGTGTTTAATAAAACCGTTTGAAAACTACTTCCGAGAACCAAGCAAAAATAGATGTCGTTCTTCGAACACAGAATGGACCATGAGTCCAAAAGAGTTTAGCGCTTATAGGTGTCAATAAATACACACTTCTCAGTTTAATAAAAAGATAATAAGGACTCAATTCCTAAATTGGCGTCTTCATGTATTAATCGTTTCATCTTAACACAGAATTACCTGTCGATACAGAACTAAGTCCAGGCCACTTACTGAGAAATTTATGAGTTCTTTGCAGAGCTCTTCTTGCAGGATCTTCCACACCTTAACGCCACTTTAAAACAAGTCCTCACTAGACAATATTTAAGGACGAACAGAATGTCCAGAATATAAAGAGAATTACAAACTTCAATAGAACTCCAGTAAGAAAAGCAGCTATGAGGATATAAGTAGTATAAACTACTAATACTAAATATATACTAATCTGTAGAAATCCCCAATACATATGTATAAAGGCTAGACGATCCTTAACATCACCAGTTGGACAGAGAATGTATGCGTAACCTTCTGTGCCTGACCAATGGATCAGAAACCGTAAAAGCAAAAACCATATCGGTAAAAAAGCAGGAGCCATAGATGATGAAATATCCCGAAATGTTTGAAAGAATACTAGATCTCCTTTAATGATGTCACTTTCAACTTCTTTCTTTAAAGAAAACTCTTAGAACACAATAAGTAATGCAGCACAATAGAAAACATAGAAACGAACAAACTCCTCCAACACCTACATCTCCTTTTCCATTCGCACTTTGTTGGATCACTAATCGACCAACGTCGGTCCCTGCATTTGCTTCCCAAAGATCAGACAAATAACGTGGAACCTACATAAAACGAAGATGAGCAAATCTAGGAAAAAATGTGAATTCCCAAAATTGCCAAAAAGCAATGGCGGAAAAATACGGAAAAAAAACCACACCTTCACTAGCCATACACCGCGCTTGCCCATCTCACAGTCGACGGCATGTTCTCGTCTCCGAGACATATAGACAACCTGTAGACTAAATGTGCAATATTTATACGCCACAGAAAGTTCAGTGATATCATTCATGAGCAAAAATACCAAATATCAGCACTTTGACCGCCATAACCATTCCCAAGAACACATTTATCATTTTTTATTACCCTCCAGAAAAAAGCCAGACATCCATGAGGAATGAGAAATAGGCAAAGAAAAAAGTTCTTCTAGCATTACAACAATTGCAGACGAAGACTACCTCTGTTACAGCAAGACCTAAGAAAGTAGAAGGAAGAACAGAACAAATAACTATTCTAAAACTTCCTCATATGAATAGCTAGAGGTGGCGTTTATCATAACAAATGCGAACAGATAACCACAATTTTTATGAACAATTCGGGCCAGGATCTACACAAAATACAGTCGAAGTACTGAGAAGCAATTGCGAAATCCGCTCACGTAACGAAAGAATGAAAGTACCTTAAGGCAAGTCCTGCGATCAATGGTCTGATTCTCCATACAGCACTTTTCTGCAGACACTCAGTGGCCAACAGGAAAATACAACATGGTTCATCGACCAGATGTCGTTTACAACAAATAGTCACCTTTGAAGTTTCTCTTTTACAATACTACTCAGCTGAACATTGTTTAGAGAAGGCCATTGTGGGGGCGTAGGAAGAGTGAAGGACGACATAGCAGCACGAATTATTTCCACTTTCTCTGAAAACGATGGACTTTGAACAGACGACAAGAAAGAAGAAAGGAAAAAAATTCACCGTCATCTAAAACGATGTCGATAGGTTGGTGAGGAATCAGTTCTCCAGAGATCGCTTCACATGCACAAGATGTTCCCTGGGAAATTAAAAGATACATATTTCGTCTAATCAAAGAGATGAATCGAATCTTGAGAACTTCCACTGAGGATGAGATAAAAAGCAGTTCTGAAGGAAAAACACACTTCTCCAAGTTCTCTTCTACCTCCGCTGTCTACCTCCGCGACACGTTCGTTCTTCGTTTCTACTTCGGTATTTCCTTGAAAGTGTTCCGCCTCTATTATCTGAAAGAAAAATAAACTATACCGTAGCTAACACGCAGAAAAAATAGCAAACCAGTCACAATACGATATCCAAGCAACTCACAAAGTCATCGGAATCACTGCTGCTAGCGAAATTACCAGCAGCTGATTCCTCTAACTGCAGAAGAGAACGGTAGCCAAGATGTTGGCTGAACTCGATGGTACCAACACTGGACTCCGTTTCAGAATCTACGAAACCTAACAACAAGAAAACCAGTGCCATACTGAAACAAGAGAGTACTACCGGAAAAACCAGACACCCAAAAATGCTCATGGTAACGAGCCACCTCATTCAGATTTGGCGATAACAGTATTTTGCCTTTTGTAAATCAGCTTAAGCACAGAATATGGTTTTTGGTACAATACTTACTTACTTACTTGGATACTTGGATGGTCCGTCTTCACTGGTTGTGAGGTAGTCAGCATAAATTCCACTTTTTCGGAGTTTTGCTGGTTTAGCTATCGTGGTTTCCTGCAGTCCCGAAGTCAGCCTAGCCAAAGTCTGCGTCGCCGCCCTTGTGGATCAGAAGGAGATTTTACACCATGCGACTGGTTTGATACTAGGACGGAGGTGGGTTCAGGTATTGGCTTACTCTTATCTAGGCTTCCCGATGAAAACGCCAGACTCCTCAGGTTGGGATGATACAATATTTAGTACAATATCAAGATCTCCGCGCCGTATAACGCAGCCCGACACCCAGGAACATCTCCCAGCCATGATGAAGCGGCAAACTGTTAGGAGGTTTAGTACAATATCAAGTTAACTATTTGATAATGAAGTCAACGTTTTGCTCTTCACAGGGACGTATATTACTAGTTGACTGGCCGAATGGAGTTACAATATAGACTTCGAGCTCAGGAATACATCAAGACTCAATACTGACTTGATTCGTCTTCACTTCCGCCCTGTGCAGCATCTAAAAATCCAATACCATTCAGTTCAATGTCGTAACCGAGTCTCCAACCGCCCTCCTCGTGAGGTTGCACTAAACATTCTTCGTCAGAAATCCATGTAATCTATCCCAAACAATGAAGGCAAGAAAGTTACAAGAATCGAAGCAAATAGTTTACCACTGCACATCGACGACATGAATTGGATCATAAAGCAAAAAACGAACCAAAACTGAAAAAGAAACGGAATCGGCACTGACCATTGTCTTCAGATGCATTGTTACCGAAGTGGTTCTCTCGCCTTGGAGACATGTTTTCAGTCCTGAAGTGAAGGACTGACTCCTGCTGGCTGTAAAAACGATAGACTCAGTCAGGACACAATTCGTGCCCTAACACGCGACTCTGCGTACCAACGAAAAATGTCGACGAGAATAAAGAAAAGATTTACATAGCTAAAATAAGAATAATCATGTGTTAAGGACAGAACATTAGTTCTAAAGATAACGAGAAGGAGAAATCCATCGCAAAGGAATATGATTGATGTGTTGGCGACGTTTTCGACATATACTGCCATGTGGTCAGTACGAGATCAGTCTTCAGTACAGTGGTTTACAGAATTCGTTTAACACACTATGCACATCCACTCCATAGTTAAATAAAAGCAGAACGGAACAGAAGCTGTAGGACCACAAAGGCATTGTCTGTAATGAACAGTCCGCAAGCACTCCCGTCGGACGAGTTCACCTCCCGGGCAGACACCATGAAATACGACACTCAGACTTGCAACATGGATGCGAGGTAAGGAACTATCGAGAAGACCTTGTGTTATACCGTCATAGATATTTACTACGTGGATGGACCGTCCTCAGGGGTTGTGCTGGCCCCAGCACAATTTCCATTTTTCGGAGTTCTGCTGATTTAGTCGCTGCGGTTCCCTGGAGTCCCGAGATCAGCCTAGCCAAACTCTGCTCCGGATCTTCACCACCACAGGCGGTCGCCGTCCTTGTGGATCAGAGAGAGATTTGCCACTATGCGACTAGTTTGGTACGAAGACGGTAGCGAATCTTGGTATTGGTTTACTCTTAGCTGGGCTTCCTAATGAAAACGCCAGGCTCCTCAGCTTGGTAGACTCTGCCGAGGTGTTAATCCTTCCGCTGTACATCGCAGCCCAAGAACACCTCCCAGCAACGATGAAGCGGTAAACCGTTGAGAGGACTCCCATAGACGTATAGTTAAAGTCAGTAGAATTATAAGCTGTGTATAGCCATCGCTGGACATTAACAAAATGTGTGTCGATTGATGTGATTTATTGCAGTGCATGTTTGAAAGCAGTCCTCAATCCTTATCCACATAGCCATTGGCTGATGTTTTGAAAATAGTGCTCGAAAGCACTTGTTTCATAACGCAAAAGATCGAAAATCTAGTAAATCACTCCTTCACACAGTTCGGAAACTTGATTGGGCTGAGCGCGATTGAATTCACACTCTCGCGACGTCGCCTAGTTTTCCCATCGATCCACACGGAGCACTGCTACCGAACCATTGTGACGCCTATAGGTGTCACTACTTGAGAACGTGTTAAATACCAAGCGTGGAACTCCGTATTTGGATTGTGGTCGATTATATGAATGCTATCTTTTAGTATTAGGTTGTCAGGTCAGACAAATATTTCAAGCTGTTGGTGTTTTAGAGAGGACCGCTCAGAGGAAGAGTTGCACTCCGGCAATAATAAGCCACATGAACGGTACACACATGAGATTAAGGCATTCATATTGCATACCCATCCTTATGCCTTATTATGTTCTATGCCCTATATATACACCTTATAGGGCGCATGTAGCGCAGTGGTCGGAGACACTCTGCAATACACATTGGATCGATCCTCGCACACCGGGCTCACCTTCTAGGAACTATTCATGAAATAGCTCCTACTTTCTATATTAGTGTATGTTTTTTGTTCACCTGTAACGATGTTAAATCTATCTTCGCATTTTCTCTAAATTGCCTCACAGGTGGCTGGAAAGGGATTCTATAACTTCTTTCAATTAACTGCTCTTTATCCGACAGTTCAGGCACTGAATCAGCAGCAGTCAGCTGAATGTACTTTCCAGCATCTGCCGTCCCAAAGAAGTTTCCGAACGAGCAGCTGCGTCCTTTCACATGTAGCCCTATCAGATTGTGCTAGGGGAGAGACCTTTAGAACCTCTCTCTAGGCGCAGCCTTTAGTTCCCTATGGCAAAGCTCCACCCGCTGCAGAACACAGGCAGGCTTCCGTCTTCAAGTGTTCGTAGCGTACGTCCAGTGTTCCCCCAGTCCCTCAGTTCCTCACTGTTCCAACTCCACTGTCCGTTTAGGTTCCTTCAAGTGTGTCACTTGTTCTCATTTCAGTCTTGCTCGTATCCAGTGGGTGGCAAAGCTCCACCTACTGCAGAAGTAATACAGACAGCCCATGGCCATTCGTCTTCAAGTGCTCGCAGTGTTCGTCTAGTGTCCGTAGAGTTCGTTCATATCGCCTAACTCGTCCATATACTTCGCCTTATTGTTATTGTTGCTATTGCTACTATTATCATAAAAGTTATAACCCAGCGTTCGACTCAGCGGCTTACACACAAAAGAGTGGCAGCTGCAAGGACTAATATTCACAACGACTTGGTATTCGTATAAAGTTGGGAGCTCAACGCCGCCACACACCCTTTCATCACTGCGACGTTGGCGAATTGGTGCCAGACATCTCTGAGATGACAGCAGCACTGGCTCGATGCATCAGTAGGCCACCGCCGGTCATTGTAAAGGCCAGATATGCATTCAACTGCTTCCAACGATAGTTAATGAGTCGAATTCACGGCGCATCCCTCAATGATTGACCAACGCGGAGAGCTTTATCCTTTTACTAATAGCCAATTTTTGGGAACTTATGACCAATGGTACGAACAAATATGCTGTGGGAATATAATGCGAAAAAGCGATTCTCCGAAACTTTCGCACAATGATGCTGAAGTATTTACAAAACTCCGGAGCGCAGGTGTCTGCGGTGGGGAACGAAGCCGCTATTGGCCTTTTTACACAATGGGTCGTTTGCAATCTGTTACAAAGTCCACTGAAGTACTGCGAAAGCATAGGGCATCATTATTTATGACTTTCTTCGGGTTTAAGGCGTATTGCTGGGACAGGAATGCTCATTGAAGCTTTTGGCAGCCAGTGCACACCAACTTTGTATATGCACTGCTTGACCTATGAAAAGGTCTAACTTTGAAGCTAAAATTTTGCATTTTCGAACAGAAATCATTATTGACGCGAAAAGAATGATTCGGTAAAATAGTGTCATGGTGCCACAACTATTCGCTAGCACAATCGAGAACGTCTAGCGAAATGCGGTAAAACATGGGAGCGGTTTCCGATGACCGATGATCCCTTCGCTCACATCATTCTGATAACACCAAGCATTGGCTGAACACAGGAATTGATACACTGTGGGATAAACATTGATCTTGGAGTTGTAAGCCGATGCTGAAAAACGAAGGATTGGAGGGTCCAATACATGTTGCACAACTCCCTGAACTCTGTTATACCAGAGAAGGCTTTGAGGTAGTCAGTTTATCTAAGAATTCTTTTCGTTTTTATTTTCAAAGAAATCCTCGTATAGGAGTCATTCGTGACACGCGTGGTTCTTTCCTGACATCAAAGTGAATTATTAGTCAAGCAACCACCGTCATCTCATGTGATCTCACTGCAGCTAGTGTCCCTCCCTGAAATGGGGGCGGCAGAGGAGCTTAGTACTCCATCTATCACGTGCTAAAGATTTAAGATTAGGTTCTTCTTCTATCAGGTCGTAAAATAAACTGATCGAGTAGGAATCGGTTGTGATTTGCAACTCCCAGACTGAATAAGTGAAATTCAATGCAGTTTCAGCACTCGTAGAAACTGCATGCCTACGTCCTCGTGCAAATTCATCAAGAACGAAATAATTCCATGTTAACTGCTGGGATTAATGCAGCTTGATGTCGGGGATGTGTGTGGTGAAACTTCTTTTGCTCTCTGATGTACTGTAGTTTATCGTGGCGTCGTTGTATTGTTCTTAGGTGTAGGATTGTGATGTAGTGCATGGGTACAATTACTGTTACAAAGGAGCAAAATTTTGCGCTATTCATAAAAAAGCCTCTCGATTTTATTCGATTTTATGTAATGCCTCCAGAACGTGTCAGCTTAAAGTCACATTCTTGCGTCACAATTGATCATAATAGTTTTTATATAAAGCTGAGATATTTGCAAAACTCCGGACCGCAGGTGTATGCGGTGGGGAACGAACGCGCGCTGTTGTCCTTTCCGGGGAGTAGCGCACTTCACCTATCTGGGTCCTTCGTTTTGCCTGTCTCTCAGCTAGTTCTATTGATCTTTTGCCATCAACAATCGCCCGTCAACGGGATTAATCTGGGGAGTCCAAATCGGTATTGAACCTAGTTACGCTGAGCTTAGTTATGATCACAATCTTAACCTTTTTATTTACTGCCTTTTTCTTTTTAATGACAGGGATGCAACTGATATTCCAAATAAACTTTGTAGAATGTTGTTTTTGGCGGTTATTAGAATATTTTGCAGAATTTGGAAGACAGTGCAGGGAATTCGGAAATCTTGTTACGTATCTATAAAACTCAAGTGGCTAAGGAATAGGCAGTTAGTAAAAGTTGAAACTCACATAGGTAATTTAAATTGTGACAATTTTTCTATAAAATCGAGAACGAGCTACCTCAAAGCACAGCGAGGTGTTCAGCTGCTGATTATGTGAACAAATAAAGGAACGAGCATGTAATTGTTGGCTGAAGGTCTGCCTGGACTGAAGTCTCAGGCGACCTTCTACGAACTTACGTACCATCTACTAACTATTGCGAAGTTACAATAAAGATGTTGAACAGCGCTTTTGAAGAAAAATCAAGAGTGACGGCATTAATTGGGACGAGTTCACCCTGGAAACCTTACGAAAGAAACTCATTTTCGTGAAGTTTATGGTTCAGCAGTTATATACGAAACAATTTTTCTGGGGTTTCGGAGGAAAATGGTCTATTTGCACCACAACACGTCGCTGTTATCGTGTTGACTCTAAAGCAATGGCTTCCGAGTGTCAAACTTATTCAGATAGGAGTTAGAACATCTCATGTCCGACGCTATAATACACTCTCCGATAACAATAACTCATGAGATCTATGATAGTTTCTTACCTTCACGACTGTTGTATAACTCTTATGTTCACCTTCTGTTCTGCTTATTTTGTAATCTTCAAGAATGCATGCTTTAGAAAATGCCCTATGCTCCATCCGTTCGTAAACTGTACATGCGGTCCACCATTGATTTGTGGACGCACACTAACATCCTGTCTCGCTTTTGCCCGACCATATTCTTCTTATCTAACAATTTATAACATCGCAGAGAAACAGTGATAGGCCTTAACGTTTCAGTTATACGTCTCAAACTGCTTTAAGAGCGTTCGCACCTATATGTGAAGAAAAACCAAAAATTACAAAGAAAAAAATGAAAGAATATGCAAGGATGACGAAGTAGCTGAAGGACAAGGTTCTATCAACCACCACATGCCGCTGGGTTGAAGTACTGTTGAGCTTCTGAATGGGAAGTTATTCACAGTGGTTCCCAAAGATCAATTACAAACAGTTCGATTTATTCGTAGTTTTCTAGGATAATACGCGGAATGGAGTTTGCCCCTCTCCAACTTTTTCCCTAAAATCAAACGAAAAACCTTCGATAAAGTAGGTAAATATGGTGGCATTCTCCTCCGAACAATTCTAGAATGTTTTAAGTCGTCCTTTGAACTGCACGTTACAATCAGTCCAACCTCGGTGTCGACTTATGTGGCTTTCATAGATTTTGTGTGGAAGGAATAAAGTTTTCATGAATATCAGTCACAATGAGCAACCGAGTAACTTTAACACTTGGAAATGAGAAATAAGACTGAAATTCGAGGGAAAGAGCGAGTTTCGTCGACTGTTTTGATTCAAGCAAGAAATCTTGTAATCGACGTTTTAAATCGACGAGAAAAGGAACCGTTTTCTGCACAGCTTGAAAGCATTCGGTAATCATCGGTATCGATTCTGAGAATCCTATAGCTACTTTTTACAGAGGTAGCGTAGATTCCGTGCTGAAGACCTCCTGTAAAGAAGATCCCATCCACAAATTTCGTTGAGCTGTCTCACCAACAGAGTAAACTTAGAAAAATTCTTATGTAGTTACAGCGCTGCTCTATTCGTGTAAATCTGCGCAACACTATGAATCAATAATTAAAATAACTTTTTGTATTGGAACACTTCTTGGTTATTTCATACACCTGTAGCTATAAAGTTAGAGAAAACAATCCGAACCACTAATGCTACACTCAATATACATTTTTCTAGCCTCAGCCAACAACTAATGCTACATGAACACAAAGAAGAGAAAGGGGCAAACACGGAAAGAACCGTAGCGCATGTGTCATCTAATAGCATAAATTAAGTTGTGGGTGTTGCATGAATTGAATGTCACTGCTGGAACACCTTCAGCCGAAGCATCTCTTGAGCTGCCGTGATGTGCTCACGTTCCACAGACTCGTCGTCACCACATGTAGCGCTAGCTGCCTGCAATTTTGCGTATTCTTGATGGAATCTCAAAGTAAATAAGTGTTAGGAATCGAAACTAAAAGAAGAAATTTCTCCCACACACAAAATTCGAAGCCTAGCATGGGAATTCCAAGGAACTTGCGAATCCTAGCAGTTCGAATCCATTCGATTTATTTCCCTCACACACGTCTTCCACAAAGAGCTCTCATTTGAACGCAGGCTTTAGTGTTGCATACGAATGTGACTGAATGCTCGTTGAGTCGATTCGACTTGGAATACTAGGATTGCCTTATGCAGCTGCCTGCTTGATGAATAGGAAGAAGCTTTTTCCTGATGTCGTGCACTTATTACTTGATTTGAAGAATTGCCATAGGTTATTTCTGTTAAAACCTCATTTTTCCCTTTTTCTTCCTATTGGACTTCTCAATCAAATGGATGCTTCTCTGGAGCTCTCGCGTTTTTAATCTACACCACTTGTTCACTAATTATTGTTGAATAGACGCCTTTACTCATTGAATTATCTGTTAAAGAGCTTCATCAGTAGCATCTGAGCTACTACGCATTTTTCGGCGTGTCTAGTTGCAACTTCTGCTGCTCAATTCAAAACAGTATTTAGTTCGTCCTTCGTCCTGCCAGGAGGGTCTTCCAAAACGAAGAGCTCGAAATTACAATACAGAAACCCATCTTTACCGAAGTCAACTCCCGAAGTCACAGCAATGCTGGAAAGAATTTAATCATTGTGTGAAAGTAGTAACAAGTAACGAGCTCTGGAATGGCTTTGGAGACCTCATTAAAAGAAATCATTACCAACCAGTAGATTGTCGGTTAAGTTAAAATTTTGGACCCAGTGCGATTCGTGACCACTGGCGACACAATTGCTCAAGAATTCATGTATATCGTTGTTGTGCCTGTACCAATAAAGTATTCACGCATTTCTCGCTGTGAACGGCACAAGATGCCCGTCACTAGCGACGTTTTTTGCAAGGTCTGCAGATTTTCATATAATTGCTGGTTCATCTAAAGCTGCTCTATAAAATAATTGCCTGCCAATTTCTATTGGCTGAAATTATTTCAGAAGGGTGGCTTACAAGAGAGTTGAATGACTTTTGCACATGACAACCCCCACCTTGATAAGCCATTTTTTGGCTGCTGTGTAATCGCCTTTCGCGTACAGCACTCGCCCAATGTACAGTCTGTTCTCCGTTACACCCGGTCGCACTTTCTCCGCTTAAAAAAACATTCAAATACGTAGTAGTAATAGTTCGTATTTTTGTGCTCATGCTTGTCATTTTTTTTCTTAGGTGAACTCATAATCATAAAAATTTTTAAAGTCACACCTAATCCCTGTAAACGTCTGATCAATAGAATACACCAAAAACTACTTTCAACACATGACGCCTGAGGCTGGTTTTTGATAAGATTTCCCTGTGACCAAATACACCTATAATTGTTTGAGAACTTGCCAATGAACTCGGCAGTATCTAAAGCTTTTCTAAATATCTAGAAAAAATTTAGAAGCCAAAAAAGCTCTATTGGCGTTGCTTCTACCGAAGAACGACGACACATTATTTGATCGTCTTGTAACAGGCAGCGAGAAATGAATCTTCTACGATAACCGGAGACAGTCGACTTAGTGGTTGGACGCCGATGAAGTTCCACAGCACTTCCAAAAGCCGAAATAGCATCAAAAGAAGGTCATGCTGACTATTTGGTGGTTTAATGCTAGAGCAGTCCATCTGAGCAATTTAGCGAAACGATGAAGCGCGCTTAGCAAGTTGACGAAATGAACAGAAAACTTTAACAGCTGCACTCCATACTGGTCAACCGAAAGGAAGAAGTCTTTCTCCACGATAACGCGCGACGACTCACTCAATTACTGGTACTACAGAAGTTGCACGAGCCGTGCTACAAAACTGTCAACCTCCATGCTCTCAAAGCGTTTACCTAGCACCGACCGATTCTTCAAGCATCTCGATAAGTTTCTGAGCAAGAAGTGCTTCAGAAGCAAAGCCGATACCACAACTGTTGCCTTCACCGACTTCACCTCAGATGTCCAGAATACTTTTCTCACTGGCAAAAGTTTGTAGATTCCTGTGGCTTTTATTTGATTAATAGTGTTTATTCTATGCTAAGATTTTTCGTCTTGAAAATGTTGTTTGAAACAGCAAAAGGAAGGAGTATCTCTTAAGGGCTCTAGAAAATCGAATACTTATTTTGATAGAATAGGATGGCTCCCATCTGATTTTCAATAGGTTGCATATCCTAGTAGTAACTATTTAACCAAAAAGGTCTAATATGGGCCCAGAAGTGCCTATTTTAGAAATTGTTTTGTCATCAAATGCTTTGTGCTCAATGCACCTCAGGCGTTTTGTGTTTAAAAAAACCGTTTCTAGGTCATAATCACGAAATTAACTATGGTTTTCACTCTAATAACTATGGTTTTTAAATATTTTCTTATACTCTAGATATTATAGATAATAGCTAGCACGTAGAAGCGGACAGCACAGTGGTAATGATGTCCGTCATCATGAGCATGTTGCTAGTTCGATTCTGTTCAGGATAAACAAAGCTTATCATCTCTTCGGGGTCTGAAAATTGGTGCCGGACTTGTCCGGGGAAAAAATCGCTCTCCCCAGTCCAATTGGGAAAGCTCCAGTTCGGCTATCTTAGGACTCCAGGGAGAATTGCTCAACCAGCACCCTACGACATTCAAGATGAAATGAAAATCCTCAAGCAGCAAGCGAAGCCACTCGTAAAAGTTGGAAGATTTTCGTGGACAATGGATGCGAGGAAGAGAATCGAATTGCGAAGTGCTGAGATTCGCAGTGTAGACGTGGAGACGGATCAAATTAAAAAAATACCACGTAGCTAGAAGTTTGAAATTTGTGCAACAAAAGGAAGTGTGCCGTGGAGTGAAGTGCAACAATTGTTCATCTGGAACAGAAGTATTGCAATATTCTGCACTTTTTTTTCGAATTCCACAAACTTGTCAAAACATATTGTGGCCTTAACCGTTTTAGGTAATTCTCAAAAAATTCTAGAGCGTGTGAGCTATCAGCTTGATATCTTTCATCTAGAAGTTCGAGCATTGTGAGGAGAAGAAATCGTCGGTGTCATGTTTGAGTTGTGTTCATCCACAGAAGGTATTTTCTCGCGAGTGATTTTGGACGGTGTGAGGTGAGCGAAAATCGAAAAAAAACAAGGTCAGGAGGACAGAACAAATAGGAGTGAAATTCCTGAGAAAAGGTCGAAATCGTCTCATTAGTCGTCCTCGTAATGAGTACGTGAGTATCGGAGTGCAGGTCGAGAACATTTGAATGTGTTCTGTGTTTTGGAACTTGTCTTTTAGATGACAGCTAATTTTTGAAATTAACATTGCAGACGATGACGTACACCGATTATCAGAGTCCAAGGTAGAACGACTTTTTCTGATCTCACCAAAAGCAGGAGACCCTCAAGTTTCATTTCACAAACTAATTCTGCCTCTAGACGTATGCGACCGACTTCAAATTCCTAGTTATTGTTACCTTCAAAAAATTTTTGCCTGTGTGAGTTCATAGCCGATGATTTGCAAACCGCAACAGCGATGACACATTTATACCGGATTACATAAGCCAAACTTATTCAAATGTTTGCAGCAGGCCGCATGAATTATCCTACGTGCCTCTGTCATATTTGATGGCAAATCCTGTGGACTGTGGGTTTACACATTTTGCAAATAATTAGGGTAATTTTCAGACACCTGCGGTCCAGAGTTTCGCAAATATCTTCGCATTATTGTGGTTATACTTCACACCATACCCTGCCATGTAAAGGAATATGCAGTAAATAAAAAGTCTTTGGATTAGGAGAATTGTTGCAAGACTTCTTTCCGGCTTAGTAGGTCAACAAATGTGCAAAAACTCTGCTTAACTCCATTAGATCTTCCAGTGCAGCATCTATAGATGCCTGTGGCAGATTACCCAACGCACGTGCCGCCAAACGCTCAAAGAAACTCAAGTTTGCAACCTGAATATCCATTGTTAGTTTTACATTTTATCCGAAATTCTTTTTCATGGTTGAATGAGCCGCATAAAAAAGCACCGCGGTTGTTCTTTAAAAGAGGTCAACTGAATTTTGTCGCAGAAGATGATAGAATTAGATCGTGATGCTATACTAGTTATTAAGGCATTTTTAAATGAACCATGTTCTCACTGCTTAAGAAGTCACCGTAGGAGCAGATAACGCATTGTAATGTAAGAAATAATCCCAAAAAGAACACTGGGTTGGTAAGTTAAAGCAATGAAGCTAGAGATATTTTAATGCGATAGGAATTTATTGATATGTTCCCTTACAAACCTTCGAGACTAATCAATACGCACTAAAAACATGCAAATGCTAATCCTTTGTGTTTTCTACATGTTTTAACAGTGGCCGGCAAAATCAGGTGATGCATGCCTCTCAATGTTTTCTACACCAACAAGCATGTTGACGACTATCCAGTCTATAATACTGAGGAAAAGCTGCTGAGATAATTGGAAAATCATTTTTCAAGGTTTGCTTTCTTATGAAACCGTTCCTTCGTGCTATCGATAAATATCTATATGGACCGTTAATTTATTCGGTTTTTCTTCTGTCTTTCTGGACATCCTTACCTTGTAGGAAAACCTTCCTCTCATATGCAACAGCTCGAAGGAAGATGGATCAACTGCTATGGCACGGTCGAGGTATTTCTAAATTTTTAACAGTGCGAAGAATGAAGAAAGAATATTTTCAGCTGCATAGGTGGAATTCTTGGAACTAAAGATATGTTCCTTTTTAGGTAAGTAAGATATGAGCTTTTGTTTGACCCTTTTTTGTAATAGGACCTTTATACTTCCATACGGCCGCCTCTATCACGTATGGTCCCGTTAGTCATCTTTATTGCACGCCAGTTCACTTCAGTGAACTCGCTGGACTCCGCTGTGATGTAGATTAAATCTTAACTGTTTTCAGATAGGAAGCCAATCTACAATTAATTATATTGGGTGACTCTGTTAGAATGGAGCCCATTATTCTATCTCGCATTTTGAAACCCAAGAGCACCCTTAGCTACGGTGAGGAAGCAACCCATTGAGTGTGGCAAGCATGAAAAGTGCTATATGCTACTGCGTGGAAAATGTTGAAACATATTATAAATATCCGACATACTTTGAATTCGAAGCCAAGATTGATTTTATCTGTCACACCACTCTCTTCAGCAAGCCGTCCGGTCGTCGAGCAGAGTATTTTGAGAATTGCAATGCTAGTCGGATTTCGTTCATGACCATCCAGCGCATGCTTCCTTCCTATAAAAGGATAAACATGCTAACTTCTAAAAATTTAAACCATATATTTAAATGAGTAACAAAGTAGATAACACCTGCTTATGGTTGCCGAAAACGATAATATTTGTTCTCGAAGAACTCTGTCAACTAGTGTGTTTCAGGAAAGAAACATTTGTTGGTCGCTCGTAAACTTTTGCTTCGCTTATTACTAGCGTTTAACGATGGATGAGCTTATCGCACTTTAACTAGGGTTTAACGATGAGATCTTGATAATCATGGTGAACCCAGGCAGCCCCTCATCTTGTTCATTCTATTCAAGTCCGTTGGTCGCGATGTGAAGGACTTCATCTCCTCAGGTTATTCTTGTAGTAAAACGTCAAACTGATGATCTTTCCTGCGCAGCTTCTTCAAATCCTCGAGATACTTGTATCTCGTATTGACCAAAACTGTTTGCTGAAGACCATATCACAATTGTTCATTTCGTGTTACTGTCTTTTCAAAAGACTCGATGGCGCAGCTCGTGCTGAGAAGAGCGCCAGTGCCACCGACTCTTCTATTGTCGCATATTCATAGAACCAGTTTTTTTCGATATTATAAATGGCCTTTAGTGAGTGGTACTCTTCTAATAAAGTAATCAAATGGTGTTCTACCAAATGTTTTTTGGTTGTATCTGTAGCTTCTCAACTGAAGATTTAGATGCTAGCATACGCGCGTGGTTGGCCTTGATCGTCACCTAACCCTTACAATTTTAGACCGCTTAAATGGAATGGAAACTTTTATAGTCTATAACTACTTTTCTTCTCAAACACTGGCCTTTGTTTCGCGTCAGGAGGGCATTGAGATCCATTTATTTTACCGTTTGATTATTGATACCCATACGACCGGCTTTCACAGATCTTCGAAAGGTGGGGATACGTTCGTGGATAGCTTACTAAGGCTTGCCAAAATATATGTGAAGCTTATTTGTTAGAGTTGACTCTAAATCATAACCCATGATTTTTAAGCCATTTGAATGAAGGATTTTAGACTAATCGACTGGCAAAATAGAATCTACACATTAAAAAGCACACACGAAAGGACACATATGCGCATGTATGAGTGGCTATAACGATTACATTTAAAAGACATATTCTTACGCGAAGAAACAGAAATAAGGAGGCCATTCTCTGAATCCAAATGTGCCTTAGGACAAGGTCGCTTTTGGTTCACGATTAACCGAGGTCTGCCATTGATCACGTAACCTCGCAACTGAGATCTCTCATTATGCGAAATCAGTAGATAATAGTGTTAAATAAGACCCGATTTAACACAACTAACCCTTCTTATAAAGAGTTTTGTAAAAGCCTTTGAAACCAGTATCAGTCTCGCGTCAAGAACCAAGTGGGTTATAATCTTCTCATAACTGCTGTACTAGATAATTTCCACGAATGCTTATGTAATCTCTTGTTTTTAGTATTGAAAACCGACAGCTGGAATACATTTCTTCAGACCCCTACCTTTATAAACATGCTAAAATGCATTATGCTTGCTAATTTTTATTATACCTTGCCTAAGCCAGTGTACACGCTTTTGGTCTTTGTCCTCCGTGTTGCTGATCAAGTAGCACACTTCGGCACACCTTCTATGCCATTCGGCTTTGTCGACTACGGAATCTCCTAGCTGGAAGCAGTCTCAAAAATGAACATCGACACAGGTCTGCCGAAAATCTTTATTGCATGAAATTCCGCACACTGCTATCGGAGCCCAACTAACCGAGCTCCCTTTCTGGGTGCAAACAAACAAACCATTAGATTTTCTACGTACTTCTTCAGACAAATCACAATGTCCGCCGCGGGTTTTCTTTTTTACATTTTTTCTGATCTTTCGAATCCATTATTTTCGATGAAACATCTCAACATTTTTAAATTTACCAAACCATGTCAGAATTTCACACTGAATGCGGCGTTGGAACGAAAAATTAGAGACTTCTTTTCGGCAGAAATTAAGAAAATGAGACTAAGTAACACTTCCACTCATCAGTCAAAAATTTCATGAAGAAAATCTTCATTTTCCTTATAAAGCCCTAATTCTTTCCAAAATTTGAAGAGCTTTAAAAATTTTGTAGGAATCTCATGAGTGAATAAAAAGGGCTTAGTGAGAAAAATGATTAGAACCATGCACTTCAATATTAAATAGTCTTAAGAAAACTAGAGCAAAAAAATCGTCGAGTCAACCTACAAGTTCGAGTTTTGCATACGCCTCGCGATATTTGGAGTCATCCACAAGTTCCTCAATTTCTAGGTATGCCTGAAAAATAAATGTTCATCACTTCGCCTTTGTATCTTAAGGAAGCTAGCAGATGCGTGATAGTAGTTTAAAGTTTTATGCGTTTCCTATCGAGAACTGCTGTGTTTTCAATACGTGTGCGGTGGTCATTTCTCTGAGCAATGTTCATTGGTTTCTGTGCTATGCTACCTTCGTTTACTTTGTAACAAGAAAAAATATTAGACTCCATGTTCTTCCACCGTTTTCAGAAAAATGATAGAGTGCGTGTAGTGTAACGGTTAAAGGTTACAGCGGTATACACATGGTCCATGGTTTGATCCAGTGTTTAAAGGCCAACAGACTCTCCTCTCTGTGGACGGCATTGTCATTGTTGAAGCCAAGGACGATAGTGCATCTCTAATGGACTAGTCAACATCAAACGCTTTATCCTTCATTCTTTCATGTGGATTAGAAAAATTGTAACGTCTTTAAGAAATCTGTGTTTTTTTCAGTTACTACTAAGGTATTATAATAGTTCGTTGAAATGTCACCTTGTTCTTTTGAGATGAAAGGGGGTGCCGAGTGAGGAAAGCAAGGATGTTTCCTACCAGTTTTCTACAATCAGTGGTAAAGTTTAGATCAACTACCATATAAAATACGTTGTTTATCAGTTTTCATTAATTTATTCAAACAGCAAGCATTCTTTTTAGAGTTTTACCTGTTTTTTAACACTCATATGCTAACGAGATGGAGAACGCTAGCATATAACTTTTAGTAGAGTGGATTTATCTCAATTCTCTTTAATAAACTCACCTTACAGTATAGCGCCTGACAATATAAAAAGAAGGATCCAAAAAGTTATCCATAGGTGATTTCACGGCAAAAAGTTTTTGGCAGTAAGGGAGTCACGGTCAGCGGCGCCTAGATGGGGATGTCTGCGTAGGAATGGTACTGTGTAAGTAGACGCTCACCTCAATGTCCGAAGGCATGATAGACAGTAGCAGATGATGCCTTGCAAGCAGCTGATACGTATGCTGATGAATCTCGCTTAGAAAACTCATACGTCCGATAAGACAAACATTATCATCGAATTTAAGAACGTGGAAAAGCAAGTAAAACCTGAGTAATCGTGTGCGGACAATTTAAGAAACGGTCTGAGAACTCGATAAAAGCTATTACTCCGTTTCCAGGGTCAGTACAATATGTGGGGTGTACCACTCACCTGCCCATAGGCCTGACTTTTATCTACTGTGAAAAAGCGTTGGACATTGTCGAAACGAATGTGATCCTATCGGCGCTCGCCGACCAAGGAGAGGACCCGTTATATACGAATACTGACTGACTGTTATCGGAACCGCACCTAGAAAATACAGTTTTTCCACCGACGTCTTACCGTACCCGTAGGAAAAGGCCTTCGATACAACTCACAAGACCAAAGCTGTTAACTCCTGTTTTGCAGTGGGTAATGAAGTCACTCGATATTGATGAGAAAGAGTGGGTAATGATGGAAAACTCCTACCATATCTTCGTTTCTCCAACAACATCATCATATTTTGAAGAAACACCAACGAATCAGAGACGATTACCAATAAAATCAACGAGGCAAGAAAAGATCGAACTGCTCATAAATTGCAAGAAGACGCAGTTCATAAGGTACTCATGCTGCGAAAGCGAACTGATAGAAATGGACGGTTTTCTGATTACAGAGACCACCTCGCACGTGAAACTTAGGCGTTCACTGAATATGGAGAACAAAACGAGGGTGGAATTAAACAGAAGAAGGAGAACAGTATGGGTCGCATTCAAGCCTCTCAAGGAAGCAACAGAGCAACTAAGACCAAAAACTCCGTGCTCACCTTTCTGATTCAACAGTTCTCCTAGCAGTCTTTTCTTTTATGCAGAGTAGACGGGGGCTGACACATTATCCAGGTTAGGAATAAATGCTGCGCACCACCCTCAGAGCTCTTGAACGATGTGTTCTGAAATGTAGACAGCGCTCAAAATGTTTATCCGGAATGCGGAGCTCTGATTGTCAAAGCGTATCCTTTCTTCGAGATGAAAAGAACTTTAGAATGGACTTCAGGAGAGGCAGGCATTTCCTTGGACGAACATCCACTCGTTAGGCTGTTCTTCGTAACTAAAGTCAAAGAGCTGTACTCGTAGCTGTAGTTGTTTTAACATTTCATGAAACGAAGCTTGCAATTCCCCCTTTCCCCAACATTCTCGAATCAAACCAACACTACAGATGACAACTACCCAACCAAAAAACGAATAATGGAGAATGTTCTGGGGACTTCACAACTCGTGAAAACGTGCTGTCCAATTATCCAAGTCGGTTACTAAGTTTCTTATAGTCGATATGACTCTGTGCGACTACGTCGGATAGCGAAAAACAACTACAGCAACATTTCACTAGAGTCGTGGCGTGTATGAAGAAGCTCATGGCAACGTTAGCGTCAATAAGAAGTGAAGATCGCTTAAAGGCTGTGAATTCGTAGCCAAAAGTTTTTCAGTTATTCCAACGGTTCAACCAAGGTGTTATTTTTGGAAGTGTTTTCTTCCTATTAGGTAAGAGGAATAAGAGTTAGAGAATTATCTGTCGCAGAACACTAGAAATTTCTTTTTCAACTTCATTCTTCTACTTACAGAAGGTTCCTCAACTGGTTTAGTTATACGTTGTTCCGATACTTCGGCTGTGCCTTCGTTTCACCAACTGTTACGTCGAAGAACAGAACAAGTCTTGTTGACAGCTTCAGCGACATTTGATCGGCAGTTTAAAATTGCAATGCGTCGAATAATTTCGATAGGAAGCTTCGCAGTGTTACGATTCCGAGGTTAGGTATGCCACCGCTTAAAAGTCTCTCCGGAAGTAATAGTGAAGGTTAGGAAAAGTCCTGCAGTGATATTCTTGAATAAATGCGTTTAATTCGAATTCTAGTCTCAGGATAAGCTGAAACCGACATGGGCAAAGGTGTTGCAACCTGAGCTTTTGTTGTACATTGTAAGTCGACATCTTGCCAACAATCAATCATGGATACAACCACAACGTTGCTGAGATATTTGCAAAACTCTGGACTGCAGGTGTCTATGGTGGAGAAGGAACGCGCTATTGTCCTTTCTGGAGAGTAACGCGTTCACCACCACACCATGCGGGTCCTTCCTTTTGCCTGTCTCTCAGCTATTTCTATCGATCTTTTTGCCACAGCAATCACCCTTCATCGGGGTTAATCTGGGGAGCGCAAATCGGCAAATCGGTGAGTGCAATCATGGATAACTCGTTGATTTTCCTCAGTAAGCAAGTACGAGATTGGTATGATGGAATTTATTAGCGTATAATAGCTGGCGTTACGGCGATTTTGCCTTCTTCAGAGACGTTTATTCCTTCCAAGTATTTTAACACCTTAGTATATTATAGTTGTACAGCAGTCCAAGTATTATAGTATTATTGCATGCTAATAAATTCTACCGAATATAATATAATAAGAGTAAACCAGTACCAGGATCCACTACCATTCAGGTATCAAAATCCTATGGTGGCAAATAACCTTCTGATCCAAAAGGCTGTGACTGCCTGTGGTGGTGAAGACCTGGGAAAGACTTTCGCCAAGCTGACCTCGGGATACCGGGGAATCACAATGGCTTAACCAGCAAATCTCCGAAAAATGGTGATTATGCTGGGGCCCACACAACCAATGAGGACGAGCCGTTCAAGTATCAAGTATGGAAATATATTCCAGCATACCAACCTCGTGTCTGCTTAATGAAGAAAAGCAGCGAATTATCAGTCAATGCCGAGGTTAATAAAGTCCGTCTAAGGAATTGCTACGTGAAGTAATCATGGATAACTAACCATCGCTTTTCCATTTGCAAAAGAAAAGTTTGGAATTTGATAGGAAACAGTGGTATTGTGATAAATACGACAGTATGGATAAAATTATAGAGTTTCGAAGTAATTCAGCTCGTAATCACCTTTTCTTAAAGACCAAAAAAGAATGAACTCTCAGAAAGCGGATGGATTCTAAGTAGTCCTTAAAAAGGCTTAGGCTGTCATTATGCAGTAGGTGATGTTTAGGAAAACATTTCATTATTCCAAGTAGTGAAAGAGACACTCGAAGCAGTTCATAGTCACTCACAATAAACATATGCTTCTCTACCCAAACATTTGCTTTTATAGAGCGGTTCGAGTGACCGCTCTTAGACATCAAGTTCCAGTTCCATCTCCATCTTCACTCTTAAGTAGTTCAAATCTCTTTACAGTTAAACTTGCAAAACTCAGACCCCAGGCCTGAATCGAACCTGCTATTACCCTTACCAGGGTCTCACGTGTTACTTGCTGCAATTTTAAATAATGGGCAGTTAATAAAAAAGCCATGTTGTGATTTTGGCTACACCCTCAGCTTAACTGGGTTCCATATCGGCTCCCGCTCTCCAGGTCGTTCCCGTTGACGGGTGTTCGCTGATGGAACCGCTAGGCTAAAAAAGTGGCTGAAAGAAAGCCAAAACGAAGGGCTCACTGGTGCAATAGGTACATGTGAGCCATCGGAAAGGGTATTCGAGCCTGGTCTGAGGCTCTAATTTTGCAAATATCTTAGCATCATTGTATTTGTATTTCACATAATACCCTGCCATGAAAAAATAATAGGTTGTAAGTGAAAAGCTATGCATCGTAGTCTCTCATCTTATATCTCCCTTTTGAATTTGTTTCTAGAGTACCTGAGAAATCTACTGCGACCTTTCTCAGATACAAGTCGCTCTCTAGCTCATCGAGTAACTTGGTAACTGCTCGCATTCCAAGCCGGGCTCACTTTAGAGTGTACATACATTCCAGTTGTACTTCTGTAGTTTTCTATTGTGGAAAATTTGGTTAACCTGTTGCGATCCGTGTTTTCTCTTCCATGGAATATGTAAACGAAATACTATTTCGATATTAAAAAAAGGTCCGACCTCATCGAAAAATAAAAGTCATGCTCTGTAGGCAGTGTATTGAAGGGCTTTATTGGAAGGTTTTGCCGAATTTCGAAATTCCATTATTGGCGGCTGCAAGGGTTCCAACTGCGGCAGTCGGTCTATTTAATACCATGGGTCATAATGGCACTTGCTGGTTTTATATGGTACAACAACTTCGCTACTTTATGCAAAATATTATGCTCGAGATAACATGTCAGGCGTGCTTGTAGCGTAGTGGCTACAGGTGCGCTGCAATGCACTCGTGGACATTAGTTCGATTCCGCCTCATGAGTTTAGCAAGTTTTCCATCCTTCCGAGGTCGAAAACTTATACCAGACTTGTTTAGGAAATGAAAATCACTGATTTGATACAGCTGTAGGCTATTGCTAATGATTGCATAAGCCAGATGTGTATTCAATCACCTTCAGGGATTCTCAATGAAGTAGAATGCATGACAATCCCTCAGAGATTGATCAACGCCTTGCGCCTCATTCTTTTATCATTTCTAGTGTCACTAGTGTAGTTGAGTAGATTTTGATAAGGAATTATTACTTTTTGTGTCACATGGCCCGTCATCACACCTACTGTGCGAATACCATCACTGCTTGCATTTGACTCGTCTTCCTCGCATTCATTGTCTACAACGATCTCCGAGCATTTCGCCTTTTGCTGCTTGAGGATTCCGTCTTCGTTACGAATGTCGCAAAATGCTCGTCGCATGGAAATTTTTTAGATAGCACAGCTAAGGTGCTCCTACGTGAATTGGAGGAAAACGTTACGAAGGGGTTTCAACTAGGACATTTCATCCTAATGGACTGCATCACTAATCACTGCGATACCTCCTCTTTTGGTAAGAAGTTACGAAAGTAATTTGCGTACTAAAGTGAAATTAATTGTTTCTTGAACATATAAAACATGTCTGTCAGATTTTTTTAATACGTAATTTTTCTTCTACTCAGCATCCTGTCTTCACAAAAACAACAACATAATTTGATTTATTTGTAGATAGAGAGCGCAGAGAAGAGCAGATGGTTGCTACGAAGTAACCGCCGATAATAGTGGACGCCAAACTTTTATACGCTATTCAGCACCGTTTCTCTTATGTTGGACTAACCCACCCTTATTACTTTTTGACCAGTAAAATCTAAAAAACGTCTTCTAGTTTTTGGTATCATCCAGCGTTAATAAGGCCGACCTAAGTGGCTCTCGATGAGATGTGTTAACTACGAAACCTTATATCCATTTACCTGAATCAATTTTGAGCTTTGAGTTTGTCTGAATAGAGTAAGCAGTGACTTTTTAGACGAATACTGTTTGCTACCTCATGTTCACTCGTCGTTTCATAATATACTCATACTAAAGAAGTGATGCAATTCTTTACCCATTTGATAATGAAGAATATTCACTGAGCAATGAAGCTCCTGCGAGAACGGCATTATTTCCAAGAAGTATTGTGTCCTCCTTCCTTAATGACGCAGACGCAGTTTCTTCGCGCTTGGTGCGTTGCTAATATATCCTTTTAACGGTGGCTGAAATAAAATGACCTGTAACACAACAAATGTGACGGTATATAGAACAGAATATTTAATTAATATAACCTGGTAAATCTGTGACGGTGTTTCCGGACTATATGAAACCATTGTTGGTGGATTGGCATTGTATGGAGATGAAGATGCAACACTCAACTGGAACAGTCACTGTATATTCCAAGCTTCAGTGATGTATATGAGGCCAAACTGTCTTCAACTCAAGTAATCTCTGAAGTACCTGATCTGGCATTTTGTATCCCAACATCGGTGGTGATGGCGGCAGAGCTTCGCTGAAATTTATTTTTCGAAGATTTTATTTCAACACAAACAGTTTCGTCAAAGATAAGGAATTCCACAATGAAATGTTATGTTCACGAATCCTCACTAGTTCATCATTGGCGTGGGATAGCCAGTGGGTTGAAGTGCAGTGCTAGAAATAAAGCTCAAGTTATGAACAATCAAAACAAACGGAGATCTAAGGCATCATTGAGAAATTGTAGCAGCACACAATATTAGAATGGCGCGCAATGCTCAACTTCATATATCAGAGCCAAAGCAGATTTCTGTTAAAACGCACAGGGCAGGAGGCTGTTGAGATATCAACTGTGGAACAACGAGCAATCGTGAAGGAGCGAACGCTGCCGGTGGAGCAGCGACCACCGGTGGCCCAGCCATCATGGGTGGAGCCTGGATAATTCTAAAACGTACATAAATGTATGTCGAAGCTCCATGAGTTTCTAAACTGCTACCGAGTGCAAAAGCGGTGCTAAGACATCGTCTACAACAGCCTTACTATAATTCTTTTGAGAAGGTGTTTCAAATTTCTCCACTTCAAAAAATGAATGTGCGAATGAAGCATAACGATAAGTTAGATAAACAGTTTTGTTGATTTAGTGGAGCAAAAATCAGAAAAAAATTAGTAGGCTTCTTAAACAGGGAGCAATTAATCATCCAAGCAAAGTAAAAGTAAGAAATGTTAAGCTCGAAGTCGTACATTGGCTTCTGTTCTTGAGAATACGAACCACCATTTCCAGCAATCCTGCAAGAATGTATGCTATAAGTGCGCTTGTTTAGAAGCACTTATCACTATTAATGCAAATAAACCCCATTTAACCCTAAGGAGTTCTATTTGTTAAGCAGAGTTTTAAACGACACTTTTATTTTAGATAACATCTTATGGGTTAGGTAAGATTTATATAAGATGTCGTTAATTGACACCTGACACTAGATTGACCGACAATAGGGTGACTCCATTCCTCAAGGTACCCAAATTCATGTAGTTCACCTCCTACGATTTCTGTAAAATTTCAGAAATATTTGACGACGTCCAAACGTTACTCGACTCATTTTCTTCCAATATGGCTGCAAGGAAATTTATAATCTGTTTATAAGGAATTTGTTTCCTCTAGTTCATATTGAAGTTGATTTGAAAAGAACACCATACATCGGTAGAGCTTCAGCTTGAGCATATTGACTGGAATCGTATGCGATCCTAAAATTGTCAAGCAAAAAATTTACTGATTAGTGAGGGAAGAATATTTAGGCCACTCAAGCATTCAAAATAAGAATGCGACAGCCTAGCCACTGCCTTCAGAGATTACACCGCTCACTATCCACTACTCTACCACTTTCAGTATGAGGAGTACGGAGAAGGATTCATTCGTTATGTAGAAAATACCCTCTCCATTATTGAGATTTTGATCTCTGCTTGCAGAAAAATTTAAGATGACCCCAAAACGTTTCAAACTGAGATTTCCTTCTCATGAATTAAAATTGTGTATTTTCTAGCATGAAAACTTCTGAAATAGGAAGAAAAAGGTCTAAATATTCAGTCACATCAGCTAATCCAGAGCTGGTAAGCAGCGTGCAGGCCTCTTAACACATCTTGGACTGGTACACAGTGTTCTAGGATCACCAAATTTATTTTTGTCTTACATTAACCTACGCTAAATATTATGCGAATCCCATTACGTGCAATCGATATGTTCGCTTTCATCCATTACGTCAAGAATGCTGCGAATCGTCCCCGAGTGCTTGGACGAACTCTTTTGAAATTTAACCGCAATTCACAACTTGCAGCCTCGGAATCTATCTTCTCAACGGGATCCGGGAGAATATAAATTAATGCGACTCACAGGTGGGTTGGTCAAATAATAAGAAGAATAGATGACAGATGGAGTGGACGCCGAGTGAAACCGTCTTCTCGGAACCAAACAACGACCATGTTCGTTGCCAACGTCAACCAGCCGCTTTCGAAAATATGAATGATTTCAGGATTGCGGAATCAATCTTGCGATCGTCACCATATTCAAAGCAAGCCAAACATCCCCATCAAGAAAGTAGTGGAAATTCTGGTGGGACCGGCACTACCAACAAAGACGGGCCGTCCAAGTACTAATAATACTCAGATGGCAGATCAGGAATACCACAAGATACACTTATAGTAAGCGGTGTGATCCGTCCCTGACCAGCTTAGTCTCCCCTCACTTTGAGATCGTCAAGCTACCATCAGTCTTGTTCGGGACCAAATTGTTCGCTCCGACCCACATCACATGACTACTACCCGTAACGAAGACCTGGGTCCACTTTAGCACGGCTACCCCAGGATTCTAGGAAGGATCTTCTCAATAAGCCATCAACGACATCCACGTAGAAGACGAAAACCTCAAATGACAGCCGAATCCACACGCAGACACCTTCGTTGTTGAAAAGTACGAGACAATGAATTGAATTAAACAAGTGTAAGTAACCTCACATTATATGGTCTGACATAGTAGGAATGAATGAGCGAACAAAAGTAAATGTGTTGTTTTCGTTTTTACAGCAATTGCGAAATTGTTATTCAGCACACCTTTACTTCCTCACAAGTATAACACATACAACACAACGGTAGCTGACGTTTCGGCAGCATCGCCTTCTTCAGAGCCTGGAAGGGTACGCTAATATGTAATTTACTAGGTCAAACGCATATAGTGCCCATTCATATCAGTTGTGAGGAAGTAAAGGTGTGCTGAATAACAATCACGCGGTTGCTGTCAAAAAAAGAGAGAACAACAGATTTATAATCCAATGCCGAGGCTAATTGAAAGTCGATCTTGGGAACTGTTAAAAGTAAATATGTTGGCATAATAATAGTTACACTAAATTGCAACTGTAGACTGCTAATCTTTCATTTTATACCTACTAAAATTTTTTCACGACAGGGCTATGGTGTGAATTACAACCGCCACGATGCCGAGATATTCGCAAAACTCGGAGCCTGGGCCAGAACGAACCACGATTTCATTTTCCGGGACTTGAGCATTAAACACTGCGCCACGGAGGCCCTTGCTCTGCTTTTTTCTCAGCTAGTTTTCTACCTAACGGCGCCATCAGCAATCGTTCGTCAGCAGGATTGATCTGGGAAGCACAAATCTGACTATAGAGCAAACAGGGTGTTTAGTACTCACTCAGGCTGTGGACGAATCGCAACGTTTGGTCGGACTTCGTTGACTTCACTGAAAAAGTAGAAAAAATAGGCAGATCGTTTGGAATATTTAATAAGACTTCTGCATAAGATTTTAAATATACAAAACTCTGTAGTACTACCTTCATCGTTCGTCAAAAGAGCAAATATTAGCAAATATAGCAATAAATAGCAAATAGAGCAAGAACAAATACAAATATAATGGTCGTTCAAATTTCCAAAAAGCACATGCTTCGTTTTTAAGAACAATTTTTTCCGAAAATCAACCCTCCTTTCTCATTTCAGACGTAAATCGAATTAGGCTGTAAAGAAGAAGAGCTGAATTTGGGTGTCGTCTCTCCCTAGACATTTGCGCAGTACTGACTTACTATGCTGCTTCGACAGGCGGTAGTGGTGGGCGGCTAGGCACTCTGGCGAAAACTGGGATCTGAAACATCACAGTAGTTTTTTTAAGTATTAATTCCATCATTGCATTATGAAAATTTTTGTTCTCGTAGCTTGTCTTCAATAGAAGACGAGTGGACTTAAAAGGATTTCTGGCCAGTTAGCACATTAAGTCATCACCGAAGGAAGTCATGCAATCTCATCAAAATCAAATCGATTTCAAATGTTCTCTCATAGTGTCCTACAATAGATTTTTGTTGATTCGAATATTATTGAATGATACTATATTATTTATGATGTGGGAAGTCAAAAAATTCGTATTTCATGCGAGCTTTTGGAAACGTATTAAAGTATTAAAGAACTTGACAGACCCGCTGATATCCAATGATGGTGGGTGGTTGGTACACCTGGCAGCACGTAGTAATGAGAACCGGCAAGCAGCAGAAAGCATTGCTCAGAGACACCAACGAGAACAGCAGAAGGCAGTTCATTCTCTAGGCAGTTCTCATCATAAAAATATGTTTCACGATGACAGAAACAAAAAACAACAACAAATCATCCGAACAACAGTTCCAATTTTTCACTAACTTCAAAGAGAGCGAATAAGAACAAACTTTCGTGACTTCGCCAAATCAAATTCTTGCTCTCAGCAGATGTATTCGTATTCTTGCTCTTATATCCAAAAAATAATTAGTCAAGCTGCGTAGAGGAGTGAAATTCTTCAGACGTCGTTTTTTCCTGGTTTTCTTGGTTTTCTCGCAGTTTTAGTTTTTTCTGGTATTATATAAAACAATGTCGATCGAATGCGCTTAATGGGACATGGTGGAGTTACATCAAAAAAATTCGTTTTTTAGTTACTGACCTAGCAAATGCAGAGTTTAAGAAAAATCTACGCACATGAAGGATTAGAGAAGCTGCGAGCAGCCACATGTTATCCGGGTTCTGATTAGCGTCGATACAGGCTGGTTGTACAGGTACCTAGAAGATGAACTGCAAGTACCTCTGCTTGAAGAAATCGTGCTTATAAGGATGTGGTGAAACCGGGTCTCATTAATCTTGTATAATTTCCCGCTGGTAGCCGAGACCCCACTTTTGTGTGCGGGACACCTTTATTTGCCACATGACAGTGAGACCTCTCCGACGAATGCTTGAAGCTCATTAATCTAACCTCTAATTACAAGAATACTCCATGAGATTGCACCAAATAGAAAAATTAAACCACCTCAGCGGGTTGACCTTTTTTGAAGAACTGGAAACGCTTACGAAAAGTCATTGAGTCATCGCTGTCGGTTCTTAAATATTAAAGTGCGATAGAACTATGACAAATTCCAACTTATTTCGATTAAAATAAGAGCTATAGGAATAAACAAATCCTTGAAAAGAAGGCACAGCCTTTCCTAGCAAGGTGAAAATCAGACCGTAAATCATGGAGCATTATTCTTCCACTGAAGCTTGTATTTTCAAGTTAATTGCATGTTCGAGCGTTTTCATATTCTCTCTGCGACACGCATTCGTTGGAGGTGCTTTAAAATACGCACGTGGTCTATAAAAAATAAACAGAATAAAACTCTCGGCGTTGATCAATCCCTGAGGGATGCACCATGCATTCAACTTCACTAAGCATCGTTTGGAGGTGATTGAATGCATGTCTAGCCTTTACAATGGTGGAAATAGCATATCAATGTATTGAAATAGTGCTGATATCCTCTTAGACAAGTCTAGTGTCAAGTTGCCGACCCCGGAGGGATGGAAAGCTTCGTCAGCCACTGGATCGGGGATCGACCACATCTGTGTGTCGCAGGACACCCCTGACCAGAATAATAAAACA